TTTGAGCTTTAGTCTGTTCTGGAAATGTTTTTGTTTTTTTTGTTATTGTTTTGTTTTTCGTTTTTTTTAAAGTTTGAATGTCAGGGCTGCCTTCTTTTTAGTCGTCGGTGACATTTGGGCGGATACAAGAACAGGAATTAATGAATATTCTCCACCGTGGTATTTTCAAGGCGGCTATCTCCTGAACACAACGTTGTTTCTGTTGTTGGAGTTCGCGGTTTCTCTTAAGCAAAGTCATTATCTCTGAATCCTTCTCCTCAAAAAAGCGTTGCTTCTGTCGTTCCAGTTCGTGGTTTCTCTCATGCAAAGTGACTATCTCTGCATTTTTCACCTCAACACAACGCAACTTCTCTTGTTTGAGTTCCTGGTTTGTCTTTTGCAAGGCAGCCATCTCTGCATCCTTCTCCTCAACACAGCGTTCTTCCAGTTGTTTGAGATCCTCTGCTTTGTCATTCTGATACATCTTGAGGAGCTTTTCATATTTCGTGTTCAGTTCCTCATAGTTTCCGCGCAAGACTTTCTGTTCAATTTTCAGGGCATTCATTTTAACATCGTGCCTCACTTCTGGTTCCACCTTCACCTCATTTTCCTTCTTGTCCACCTTCTCCTCAACAGAACGTTCCTTCTCTTGTTTCAGTGTTTGGTTTTCCTTCAGCAAGGCGGCCATCTTTGCCTCCTCCTCAACACAATGCTCTTTCAGGTGTTTGAGTTCCTGGTTTCTCTCACGCAAAGCAGCTATCTTGACAGCTTTCTCCTCAACATAACGTTCCTTTTGTAGTTGGAGTTCCTGGTTTCTCTGACGCAAAGCAGCTATCTCTACAGATTTCTCCTCAAGACAACGCTCCTTTTGTTGTTTGAGTTCTTGGTTAGTCTTTTGCAAGGCGGCCATCTTTGCATCTTTCTCCTCAACACAACGCTCCTTCTCTTGTTGCAGTGTTTTGTTTTCCTTCAGCAAGGCAGCTATTGCTGCTTCCTTCTCCACCACACAGCGCTCCTTCTGTTGTTGGAGTTCCTGGTTTATCTCACGCAAAGCAGCCATCTCTACAGCGTTCTCCTCAACACAGGGTTCTTTCAGTTGTTTGAGTTCCTGGTTTGCCTTTCTCAAGGAAGCCATCTCTGCTTCGACCTTCTTGTGTGACCTCTGGAGCGTTCCGTATTTCATGTTCAGGTCCTCATTGTTGAAGCGCAAGACGTTGTGCTCAATTTCCTGGGCTTTCACTTTCACATGTTGCTTAAATAGCTTAGTTGCATTCTCTGTATCTGCTTTGAGCATCGCTTCCTTCTTCTTTGCGCCTTCAATCTCAAGCTTATTCCTTAAAGTCCTTTCCTGCTCCAGCAACAACTTGATTTCCTGATTTTCTTTTTGCAGAATCTCGAGCTTGACTTCCATCTCATCTCTATTGTTCATCTCCATCTCTACTGCGGTGATGAAGTTACCTGTTGTTAAGCTAACTGAATATAATTGTTCGACTGAATTAAAATCCCACAAAAATGGAGTTCACTTGTGAAGATTATCTCGTTAAAATATATGTGCAAGTTTCCCTAATGTTAGCTTGCTACAAAACCTATTTCTGCAATGATCTGACACTAGCTGGAACAGTTCCTTCTGCCTTCTGACTGATGCTCTGATGCTCTGATGGATTCACCGTCACAGCTGAGACCTGCAAACTTCTAAAACATCAAGATCAAAGGCAAATATGATGTCATCAATCTGAAGGTTCCATTTGCTGATGTCAGTGAATTACATCAACTGACAGGAAGTAAGAATGGAACCATGGTGTTGCCTAGCAACGCAATTCTGTTTAAATAATATTAAGAAATGTAAACGATCAAAATGCTTTATTAAGTATAATGTATGTTTGTGAAAGAGACAACCAAAGGAAACTGGTGTCATGATTCTGTTCACGTCTCCTCTCTCTGTCCTTCACTTACATGCTTTTGTTTTTTCACCTCCTCCCACTTACTTCACGGTGGGAGACAGGAGATAATAAGGGGAGAAAGGAAGGCAGCTCATTGAAAACCAACAAGATGCAGACGTACAGTCAGCCTGGACAGTTTAGTGATTCACTGCCATCCCCTAAAAGCTGTTAAACTTGTCACTTTATGTTTCACAAATGTAGGGCTTTGTTGCTAATGAGTTGTGGAATGATCAATCCCAGCATTAGAACTTTTACACAAAGTGAGCAATTTATTTGTCATGAATCTAATTAAAAACAGCTTCATCTTACAATTATATAACAAACAATCTGGTAATGTTAAAACCCTTTTAGTACTAGAGGGCTCTTACAATAAAGAAATTATGCAAACACTGGTTTAGAGGGAAAGTTTATACAAATGCAATGTTGACCCCTTGTCCCACACTGCAGGACAGTGTCATAGACTGGACTGAATACATGTTGGTCATCTGGCTCTTCCAATTCACCTTATCCAATAAACGTCATAAATCCAAGTAAGCAAACCCATTTAAGGCATGAGTAATAGTTATAGACAATTATAAGCAAATAGCTGTAATGAACTGTGTTGAGCTGATAGTACAGTTATATTTCAAAAGTAAGTAGGTCGTTATTAAAAAGAATAATGATAAATTCAATAATAAGTAGGGGAAAAGACTACATGGCAGATCCAGATAGAGCTAATTATTGTTCTTGAGATCCTTAGTCCAGCGGAGGTCTTATGGAATGAACAGAGCTCTGTGCCCATTTCTAGAAAAACTGCGTAGGCTAGACCACGAAAAAAGGCATCTGGATCTGTGGGTGGAGATTATGGGGGTTATCCTACATGATGTCATGGGCTTTTCCCTGCTGCTCACAGACCTAGTGGCCACCCGCAATACCAATTCAGGCCATGGCATAAACTGCAGGTCCTTTCCTCATTACCTTTCCGTTTACTTATATGCACCACTGCCATGCTCACCTTTGCACTGGCACTACATTTTGATCTGAACTACAAACCTGTTAAGTTCCGTGACTGTGAATCTTACGCGCTGTTGAGGTGACAGCATCTTTCAACAGAGAGCCAAATTAACGCTGTTATAACACACATATTCTCACAACATTAAATCATGCGAGGCACACGCAGTGGCAGCTAGTAATGAGGCTTCGTAATATGCACTCCAGTGACTTTTTGGGAACAGGTGTTAATTGGGGTATGGAGACGGTTTCTGGTTATGACAGTTAGTGATGGCAACCAACTTGTGAAGGAGAAACACGGAATTTACTCGATGAAGAACTGTAGAAGGGTTTTTGGAATTCAGTTCTTGAAAGTATGTTGACGCAGGTTTGCTTTCTTGATAAGGCTTCTGTGTTTCGCTCAAATGTCAAAGATGATTCCAAGATATTCCCACCATCCAACTCCTTGTCTGGACTGCATCCTGAAATCAACCAGCAACCATCTCTGAGTGAAATTGAAATCCAGCATTGTATTGTTGCACCACTTAACGTTAAAATCATAGAGAAGAACCGTGTTCCTGCTCAGAGCCTGAGAGGAGCGCTGTGTAGTCAGCACATTTAATGAGTTGGCAGTTTGGATGGATGCTTTCACAGTCACCATAGAGCATGAACAGGAGGAGGGATAGGAAAACACCCTTGTAGTGAGCTTGTGTTGGTTTTCAGTGTGTTTGAGTGACCAGTTTGTTGGCGAGGATGACAGGCTACATGGTGTTGAATCCAAAAATAAATATTAACAAATGGAAGCCTGGCAAAGTTCCGCTCTCCTTCAGGTCTCTGTGAATCTAGCAGGACAATTTTAGCATCATGTTCTGTGTATATTTGTACTCATTTTCAATTGTGGTGAAAATATGTTGTTTGTTTCTTTAAAAGCAGACACACTTGAATACAAGGACACATTCTGAATTACGCCAAAGGGGCCTACCCTTCATGGGTGATTTGCATAGGTTGAATCTAAGAACTTGTTTAATGAAATACTGTATATGGATTTAAAAAATGTAAGTCAGGCTCCATTTTAGTATATCCGATGTTTCCATTGGAGTCCAAACTTTTATAGTTATTTTATTGTTGTTCATAAAGACTAGCTCTCCATCAATATAGGAAAATGTGTCTGCATATAACTCTAAAGTATTTTAATTAAAGCTTTGAAGATATCTGAAACAAAAGGGAATTCCCTTTAAAGCTGTTCACTTCTGAGGGAAAAATGTAGAGTGTAGATGTCAAAGCGAGTCAATAAATACAGTGAGTTATCTGGGCTCCACACAAAGGGAAGGAACATCAACAGGGATTCAAGCTGTGAGTACAAGCCTTCAGCAAATCTGACATCCAGCTCCCACTGGGTAACAGGCAGGGGTGACTGCACCACCACTTGTGTGCATCACCCGGGGTCACCTGCCAAAGACAGCCTCACTCCGCTGCCTCCCAAATCTGCTCCATTGTAGCCCAACACACTCCACAGCCATGTGCACAGCCTGGTCTACCGGAGTCACCAGAATTTGCATGTGAGGCGCATCCACTGTCGGCTAGCATTACGGCTGATATCCCTTCTCATTGATTCCGATCTCTTCTCACATTTACATTTATTCATTAGGCACACCCCCGGCTACCATGCCTCCTGTGCGAGTTGTCTTAGCTTGAGCTTTCTTGGAGTAATGTTCTGACTGTCTGCAACAATGAGTAAACAACAGCATACTGGTGTCCTTCCTCATCCACAGGAATATGCTGACTGTTAAAGGAGATATATTTATCAGTGAGAGAAAGAAGGAAGAGAGACACGGGTTAAAACATAGCTCTTGTTTTGAGACCTCTGAATGACAGGTGCGCCAAGTTGTCTGTAAACCTTAACTAACGGGAATACCCTCAGCAGTTTAAACCACAACATAGCTGAACTGTGATGCAGATAAGTTCCTACAAAAATCGACATCCTATTTGATTTTGAGTTTACGTATTATGAAATGAAGGATGTCACGTAATTTTCTTTCTTTTTTTAAGTAAACCCGGCCTTTTCTTTCACTTAACTTCCCTTAACACTACTTGTTCTTCTTGTTCCTGCAGGTGTTATGTGGATGACAAAGTGTCCAAAGTGGCCTGGCTCAATCGATCCAACATCATCTATGCCGGCCAGGACAAGTGGTCTCTGGACCCCAGAGTAGATCTGGTGACTAAAGGACAGCTCGAGTACAGCCTGCGCATACAGAAGGTAACAATGACCTAGAAACCTGACCTGAATGTTTATTTATTTTTATTCTTTGATTTCATCGTTAGATTTAATAACAGCTGCATTTAAAGATGGGAAAGAACCATTTGTTTCGACTCCTTAGGATTACATTTAAAAATTATTAAACATAACCTTCATAAGCATAACTGTTTTGCGTATGTTCATCTATTAATTTTAACCCTTTTTTGTGCTTTAACAATCATTTGAAAATGGACTAATGTTAGACTGGTATCAGTATATGCACCCTCTGCTAGACAGTAAATAAGATTATCCTCCCAGAATGTTAAAGTTATCGTTTTCATTGATTATCAGTTCAGCAAGTCTAACTAAATATAATACATGTTTTCATAAAGGGTTAAGTACCTTATCTAAACTGCCCATGCAGGGAGGTCTGCTGAAATGCTGATCGTATCTGTTATGTAATGATGATCATTACTCATGTCTATAAGCTTTGACTTCTTAAAGTTGAATGAATTAATAATAATCAAAACATATTATATTGTAAAGTTGATTGAGATAATTCGACTACTTTCCTGTACAACGTTTTTTCACTGAAGAATCATAAATATTCATTTGGAGAATATTGTAAATGTTTGTCAAAATGAAAATTATAGAGTAGGATCTTGAAAAAGTGACATGTAGGAAGATACATGAAGATAAGATGCTCTGCCAGGCATATGATAAGATATTTTCAAACTAATGAAAACAATATTGCATTTGTGATTGTGTATAGGTGGATGTGTATGATGAGGGGTCGTACACCTGCTCCATACAGACGAAGCAGCAGCCCAAGACCTCACAGGTCTACCTCATTGTACAAGGTAAGTGGCAACATAGACACCAGCAGCACACAACACACAACCAATCCACGCCAGCCATACAGGAAATGGTGTCAATTTATATATTCCAAACAGAAGCTAGAACAAATTTGAAATGATTATGTTATATTTATTAAGAGTCAATCGCATCATTGTCCAACTGCACACACGCAGCAAACAACAGCGTCACCAAACTCTCTTATTAAACGTTGAAATGTGTCCCTAAGGTGTCTGTAAGGAAAATATATGAATATTTATTGTCAGGGAAAAACTGCTCTATGTCACAAACTGCCGCCTACAGCAATAGAATTTCTTGTTCCAGTTCAAATTAATCTTGAGTGCACTTCAAAAGCCTTGAGCAGTAGTTTTCCATTTCAGAGAAAAAAAAAAGTTTTACCTCCTGAATGGAGACAGCAAGAAAGTTGAGAGCAAAAGAGATAAGATGCTGCAGGGTTTGATCTTATAGGCCTGGAGGGTGGAATCTTTATTTATATATTTAGTTTTAATTGTCACCGAAATGCCTTCCAATAGTTATCAAAGAGTTTAAAGGTTGTACCTCCTGAGATTGAAGAGAATCCAATGCTGTACAAACTCTTGTATCTGTACCTCTTGTGTCTGATAAAAAAAGGTTCATGCATCAGTGTTCGTTATTCTAAATGTTGTTCCCTGGGCCATGGCTTAGTTTAAAATAATAATGTTAAGAATTGAGAATATTATGCACTATGTGACTTTCCATCACTATGTGGAAGACACGCTGCAAAGGATTGGTGTTAAGGACACAAACTTGGATTTTCCAAATCAACTCCATCCATCCATCCATCTTCTCCCGCTTATCCGTGGTCGGGTCGCGGAGGTAGCAGTTCCAGCAGAGAGCCCCAAACTTTCTTTTCCCAAATCAACTCACTTTTTTTAAATCAAGGCTTTAAAATGATTTTATTAAATGATTTGCTTATCCTTTATGTTTTACTGCACTTAAGTCGATTCCACTTACCAAATGCCTGTAAGGTTGATATGTTCCAGGAGCCATCAGTTTTAGTCCTTTTTTAGTTCAACCAAAACTAAACTTGTTTGCACATTGATTTTACAAAGAGACAAGACATAAGAAGTTAGTAAGTATGCTTTAGATTTGCTGGTAGGGAGTTTAAGTTCCCTTTACACCAAGTCAGGTTAGCCGTTTATTCCTTTTTCAGTCTGTCCGGTAAGCTAAGCATAAATATATTTTGTGCGCTTCAGCCTTTATCTGTCAATCATTTATAACTGGAACTACTCGGCTCAAAATATACTAGGAGTCATTTCACCGTTCCTACTCCTTCTTGTCTTTTAACTATTCTCAAATGAACAGAAAAATTGCAAACGACCAAGCTTGGCTGTAGCAGCCTCATTTAAGCCAATATTTATATAAGTTCCTATTCAACAGCAACTGCAGGCTTTTGACGGTTTATTTATTTTCAAACTGAAAGAATACTTGGCCTTTTTAGTTTTTCTTTAAACCTCTGAAACGTTTCTGAAGTGCCAGTAAGCTCTCGGGACCATGAAAGCTTAAGAGCAATACAAACATTGAGCTGTGCATCAAGGCCAAAAAAAGAGGGAACATTATCCATCAGAATGCCACCTGAAAGACTCTTTAGTCTTGTTTTTCAAAGTCACAGTTAGTTGACAGATTTGGCTCTTACCCTGTCAGAAAAAGGCTGCCTGACAGACACGAGTGCAATACCTGAGTGCTCAATAGTTTGATCTCTGATAGGTTGTTTGTTTGCATGTATGGGACATTTGTATGTCTTTTATATTTTGCTTTCAGCCATGGATGCTTTAACTGTCATCTGTCCATTACCCAAAAAAGAAAAGCTGAGGATAGAAATATGCTATATATGTACTGTGACAAATGTTGCTGCTCAGAACATTACACCACCTTTCAGTCTTTCATCGATCAGAATTTGTTTTGACTGCCCTTTCCATTTTAAAACTACTGCCTGTCTGATGTGAAACCTGACCCCAGATAAATACTACCTGCTGTCAGTGGAGGAAATGCACCACAGTGTAATTCCACAGTACCTACCAGCGACTTCCCATCTTGCTATGAACTTAAGACCCTCCATTTATAACATTTTAAAGGTCAATATGTGAATTGACGCTTCTCTTCTTGGATCCATGGCAGCAAATTGCCTCTCCTTCCCAGAATCCATTGTGTCCGATTATTTAGAGCTTGATCATTGGAATGTCCTGCGCCGACTTCCAGATTTTCTGTCGGCTACCTAGTTTATCACGACTAATGCCACAGCTGTAGCCAAACATTGATTATGTTGCTTTCTTTTCCTGCTATTTTGTCCTCTGCTCTGCCTCTCTGAGTCCCATTCAATGTTGCTGTCATTGTTAGTTCATCTGTTGTATTCACCCGCTCCGTGGGTGTAATCTTCTCTTGAGGTTCACTTCAGCATCTTTCTATCTAAATTGCAGTGCAGTCATGAAGGCGGACATTTCTTGCAGTTACCATGAAGGTGTTACTGAGCACTGTTTGCACTATGAAGTTCTTATTTACTTTCTAACGTTAGTCAAACATTGAACAAAGATGTGAGAGAACAACTGAGCGCAAAATACTGATTAAATGCAAAGAGTAGGAAGTAACATCCTTCTTCATGAACAATCCCCTTCTTATTGAACTTCTACTTAAAGAGTTTTATCCAATAACTTTTCTATGCTTTATGTAGGTTTAAGTGTTTTTAGGGAAGATACCAAAGTGTCTTTGTGTGTGGCTGCATACCATCACATGCAGCCAAGAACCTGAACCAACCCTGCAAAACCCAATCAACTCTGCAGGATAATAATTCACCCTGCCTTCATCTTTTAATGGGTATGAAAATGTTCGAAGCATCAAACATTGCCTCTGGTTACAGACCCAAGAGTGGGTTCACAAAACCAAAGCTGACAATGTTCTGCTAGCAGGGACAGGAACATAATTGGAAAACAAATGATCAGACAAAGTACATTTGGGGTGGATGAAAAACTCACAGGGCTCAGACGAGTGGTACCAAGAAGCAGGGTCACTGCACATGACAAGAATCCAAATAAATTGGCAGGCTTTCAACCCCAATTCAATTTCATTTTGGTGAAACACAAACTTAGTTTTATTGTGTTGCACTGTTCGTGAAGCCTGTGAACTAAGATTTTCATCGTCAAAACTTCACCGTAGCTATGTACGTATGATTAATAAAAGCCTTGAACCTTGAACATACTGTATAACTTTGACCAAACGGCAAGCCCAGGCCAGTTTTGTGATGGTTTGATTTTGTCTGTAAGCTAGTTAGGTTAGTGTTGTGCTTTTATAAAAGTAAGTATGTGTTTGTGTGCACAATGTGTTTGTTGGGTGATGGTCAGTTCAAATCCAACAATTATTTATTGACACATTTTAAGAAACGCAAGAAATGCCTTCTTTTTTTTTTTTGTAAATGTAATCACTTCACTTTTCAAAAAGCCTATTGAAAGGGAATAATATAAATATACTGTATATACTTTATAGACCTTAAGCTGAAACCAAATATCACCCTATGTAATTGTATTGCACTCTATAACGTTTTTCTTTCAACACACAATCTGGCATCTATTCATGAGAGAGGGGGACAGTCTGTGTTTTCTTGCTGACGTTCACAGTGTAAAATCCTGTCCGTAGCCCATTATTTTACATTATCTGTCAGACCAGTTACTTAAAAAACTTAGTCTTACTTACATGCATGACCTGTCAACATGAAATCGGATTTAAAATATATAAATTATTCTTGCAGAGAAAATTGTCTCTAGTGTTTTGTCTTCTAAATCCAAATGTAAAAAGATTGTTAGTCTCAACATCCACCATCAGATGTGTTCTTTGACAAAACAAATGAAGTACATAGCCCTTCTATATTACAATTGTAAAATATATTAGTAAGATTTCTTAAAAGGTTTGTTCAGATATTCATGGCCACAAAAGGTTGAAGTCCACAGCAACATTTTATATACATTTTATGTGTGTTCATAGGGATGAATTCCACAGCATTTAGTTATCCCTTGACTTAAGCTCTAATAGCACTATGAGGTGGACATTATTATTATTTAGTGAAATGTCACAACCACCATTTAAAAAAAAAAAGAAGTATATTATGCCCCTTGTAGCACTGTGGGATTACTTTTAAGAATGAAAGGTGCTTTACAAATAAAATGTATTATTATTAGTATTATTACATTGCTCAATGCACTGCTGCGCCCTATTTAGAAGTGCTCTCATGAGTGTAGACCCTCTTGTTTAAATCCCACCACTACATTATTTGGAGAAATCTTATTCTGGAAGTGATGTTAATGAGAGTAATGTTTGGAAGGGCCTCGCTTGAAATAACATAATAAAAAGCATAGATATTGCCGCAATCACTTTTATTACAGTCCTAGTGAAACCCTATCCACAGCAGAAGTGTTTTAGCAAATTCAGCAAATCTCAACATGCTTTGCAAATGTGTTTTTCTAAAATGCAGTGGCCGGGGAGTGATTCATTCATTTCATGAGGTCCTCTTACAATACTCAATGCACCGGAGTGGAACTTTTATTTCATTTTTCCCTTACTGTATCTGCCTGAAGAATGCTGACCCCTATCAGAAACACTGCAGCTCGTTGATCTCTGATTCCCACCAGTGTATCCGACAGTCAGTGCTCATTTGACGAGTTTAGTTTCCCAGTTAGGAACATATTAGTAACCACAGCCAGTGAGTGATGTAGCTGTGAGTGTGAAGGTGTACGGATAATTGGCCTTATTGCTACGCCCAAGCAAAATCAAGTCATCAAGTTACATTTTTCATTTCGGGCCGAAGAAGGATAAACAGCTTGATGGATTTTGACATGTACTGTCTTATTACTAGTGGTTATACTTTATCATATTGTATACATGTCATGTGTGTCCAAACATACATGTCTCACTGTGTACTTCACTGTGCAGCTAATTATACAAGAGTGTGTGTGTCGGTTGTTTGCCAGATGCCACACGT